AATTCCCTGAAAAGCATCCCAAATTTAAGTAGCTGCAGAGACTTAAGGCTGTTGTGAGTATATCGAAAAGATATAGATATATATCTCAGCAGATATATATGAATACATATATATATATATATATATATATTATCCTTACAGAGATCTATCGAGTAATCAAATTGAGACGTTACAAGGACGACCTTTCCATGGACTTAAACAGCTGCACGACTTGCTGCTCTCCTATAACCGCATCAAGGCACTGCCGCAGGATGCCTTCCAGGGCATACCCAAGCTCCAGCTGCTGTAAGCTTAAACACTACACTCCTCTATACATATTTTAGCTGAGCTTCATTTACAGCGATCTGGAGGGCAATGAGATAGCTTACATACACAAGGATGCGTTCGCTGCCTTCACCGGTCTCGAGGATCTCAATTTGGGCAATAATATATTTCCACAGCTGCCGGAGGCAGGCTTGCGTGGCTTGCTGCACTTGAAGACTTTTAACAATCCAAAACTACGTGAATTCCCACCGCCCGATACGTTTCCACGCATCCAAACGCTGATTCTATCGTATGCGTATCACTGTTGCGCCTTTCTGCCTCTAGTGGCAATGTCTGCACAGCGTAAGACCTCCCAGGTCCAAGAGGCTGTGCTCTTCCCCTCTGATGCGGAGTTCGATATGACATTGTGGAACAACAGCATGATGAACATTTGGCCACAGATGCGTGCGTATAAGAATTTGTTGTTGTTCTGTTGTAGTTCATACTCTGTTTAGGTAGCATAGACGAGCATATTACTTTAGCTGTTGGCATTTGCAAATTATATTAGTTAGAGCTAACTATACTCTGCTCAAAGAGCAGACGGCAGTATGTAGGCTGCTGTTAACTGATATTCGTGTAAGTTTACAAAGTAGTAGATGATATATTTGTTTTGCTATTGGACTTATCTTTGCCCTATATGTTCTCCTTTACAATTGTTATTTATATTTTCTAATCCTCATTACTTGAACCAAAATTCAATTATTAATTATAGTCTGCTTGCATAATAAATGCAAGTTTATAGACTCAACTATTCAAGCCACCTTTTCCCTTAGCAATCAGCTAGAATTTCCATTTAGAGTTCTTAAGTTTCGTTTCGGAATCTGGCTTTTCAACAGTTCAGTCTGTAAAGTTGACATATAATTGTATAAACATTTAGACTCTAGATTTTTATAATTCTTGAACTCATTTGTTTATAGAGGAAACTATAATTTAAGTTAATGTTTTACAGTAAGTCGATCCCATGTAGGTTTAGATATAAAAATGCTATTTAAAAAAAATTGGTAAATTGTTAAAGCAAATCCAATAGGTTGATTTATATTTTATATATATATATATTTCATTATAAAATATTGATAAAAGATGCAATATATATATAAATTATGTAAATATATTCTAAGTTTAGACACTGCCAAAAGCGCTTTCAGTTTAAGAGTCATCAAGACAAGTTTTAGCTGCAAACAGAGTATGTCACGGCCAATCTTACACACCTCTCCCATTCGCAGATAATCTCAGCAAGCAGCTGGGCGCTGCCATGCACGACTTGTGGGATTCGCCGATGAACAACTACAATTTGAATGAGGATGTGCAGCAGACACCGACGGGCAGTCAGTTGGCCAACAGCTATATGGAGGAGTACTTTGAGGAGCATGATATGAGTGCGCCCGGCACTGGCTACGGCTTAGGCACCGGTCTCTTTAGTGGCATTACGGCCGATGACTTTCAACCGGGCTCGGTGCAGTGTCTGCCCATGCCGGGTCCATTCCTGCCCTGCGCCGATCTCTTCGACTGGTGGACTCTGCGCTGCGGCGTTTGGGTTGTCTTTCTGCTCGCTTTGCTCGGCAACGGCACCGTGGTCTTTGTGCTCATCTGCTCCAGATCGAAAATGGATGTACCCCGATTTCTGGTCTGCAATCTGGCTGCTGCGGACTTCTTTATGGGCATCTATTTGGGCATTTTGGCCATTGTCGACGCAGCTACATTGGGCGAATTTCGCATGTTTGCAATACCTTGGCAAATGTCGTTGCTCTGCCAGTTTGCTGGATTTCTCGCCGTGCTGAGCTCCGAGCTATCTGTCTATACGCTGGCAGTGATAACGCTCGAGAGGAACTATGCAATTACACATGCAATACATTTGAATAAGAGACTATCGCTGCGACAGGCGGGCTACATTATGAGCGTTGGCTGGATCTTTGCGTTCTGCATGGCGCTGCTGCCACTGTTGGGCGTCTCCGATTATCGCAAGTTTGCCGTCTGTCTGCCCTTTGAGACGACCACGGGCGTGGCCAGTTTAACTTATGTGATCAGCCTGATGTTCATCAATGGCTGCGCCTTTCTCACCCTGATGGGCTGCTATCTGAAGATGTATTGGGCCATACGCGGCAGTCAGGCCTGGAATACGAACGATTCGCGCATTGCCAAGCGGATGGCTTTGCTGGTCTTTACGGACTTTCTCTGCTGGTCACCGATTGCATTCTTTTCGATAACGGCTATTTTTGGACTGCAGCTCATCTCGCTGGAGCAGGCGAAGATCTTTACGGTCTTCGTTTTGCCGTTGAACAGTTGCTGCAATCCCTTTCTCTATGCCATCATGACCAAGCAGTTCAAGAAGGATTGCGTGACGCTCTGCAAGCACTTTGAGGAGACGCGCGTTATAGGCGGCGGTGGAGCCGCTGCCGGTGCTGCCAATACTGCGCGTGCCGCTCGAGGCAAGCGCGCTGGTGGAGAGCTGCCCCCGCCCCTTCTACCCGCAGCTGCTGCAGTAGCTCATCCACCGGGTTGCCGCTGCCTGCGCATGTTGCCCAGCGAGATGCCCAACTGGCATAAGATGGAACAGACGCCGACGTTGTGGCAACGCTTGAAGCGTCTCTGCTGTGGCCAGCGGCAGCGACGCAAGCAGCGCCGGCAACCACAACAACGACGTCAAAGGGCCTACACAGCCGCAGCAGCTAATCCGTATGAGTATCAATTTGCGGAGCTGCGACAACAGCGCAAAAACCGAGCCAGCTCCATATCCAGCGAGAATTTCTGCAGCTCCCGCAGCTCCAGCTGGCGACATGGCACCAACTCTTCGACGCCAGCGCCGCAGTCCAATTGCAGCATGCCTCTGAAGCTAATGGACCCGGTACAGGGTCATACGCATGGCAGGCGCAGGCACTCGGCTTGGCTGATCACACGGAAGACCTCACAGGATTCCAATTTGTCCAGTTCACGCAACGATTCATCTGCCTCAGCCACAACGGCCAGCACCTCCACATTCCGGCTGTCCCGTTCGAGTGCTGGAAGCAGCACGCCGCTGCCCTCGATAATAGGTGAGAGAGAGAGAGAGAGAGATAGAGCGATAGGGAGCGGAGTGTCGAAAGATCTTTGTAGTCAAATAGCAACAATCTTAACACTCGATTAATGTTCGCTCCATTCACAGCTCACAATGGTAAACAGATGCACGACCCACTGAGCAAGCCGCGGCTCGTTCGCCAGGAGGCGGTGCAGGAGGAGGAGGACTCATCGCCGCCACGTCTTGGTGTACGGTTTCTGCCCACCATACCATCTGCCGCGGACAGTTCGGTCATTATGGAGGACGGCGATTCGGCCAGTGTGGCAGCTGGCAACGCCATTATGGGCATGCCACAGCCAGGTGATGCCAGTGGGTTTCTGGTAGCTCCACCGGCTCAGCTGCAGCCGGAGAAACCGCCGCCAGCGCCAAATGATGCGCCGCCGTGACGCATATCTGCATTCTGGGGCAGCTGGAAGCGGCAGCATGAGGAGACCTACCTGTAAAACGGGGAACAGAAAGCTCACTGTGTTCATAGATTGTATAGCGCGGGGACAGGGGACAGACATTGAGGGGGAGGGGGCATAGTGTAATAGTGGAACATGGCCATGTGATGCAGCAGAGCATCAGCTAACATTTATATAAATAATCTTAAGTAGTCAATTTCTTTGGGTTCGAGTCAAGGATTTCATTTAAACACACACACACACACACAAGTATTATGTACTACATATATATATATGTAATTTATTAATTAGTTTAGTTATCGATCGATAGGCTAGCCGAACCTAGCATATTTAGTGTTTAGACTAGCATAGTTTATATATGTCTATATTTCGATATGCGCGTAAAATATTTAGAAAATGCTAAGCATTTGTCGATATTACTTGAAGAACTTACTTGCAACGAGTTCTATATAAACACACAGCCAGTCACACACACACATATTGAAAACGATTCAAACGATAACGAAACCAAGCCATAATATACAATATTAAAGTTAATCTATTTACGATAAATGAAACTGTTTATTATGGGCATAGCTCTTGAAGAATGCCAATCTTAGGTAAATATAATGTGATTCAAACGGTTCAGATAAAATTCATTATAATTTTTTTTTTATTTTTCATCAAATATATCGATAACATTAATTTGAAAAGTCACTTCATATACAATTCATTATACATATTTTTCATTTTTCATCAAATTTATCGATAACAAAAATTGAAAAAGTCACTTCATATACAATTCATTATAATTTTTTTTTAATTTTCATCAAATATATCGATAACATTAATTTGAAAAGTCAATATATGAATCAATATACTTTTTTTTTAATTTTTATCAAATTGATCGATAACATAAATTTAAAAAGTCACTCCATATATAAATCAATATATTTTTTTTTTAATTTTTATCAAATTGATCGATAACATAAATTTGATAGATTGCATTTTGTTGACATTTTACATACAGATTAACATATTTTCTTCAGTGTAAAGAAATCGATCATATATGCAAATCAAGTTATCGATAATTAATCGTATATTATCGTTTACTTGTGCTGTTAACATTTTTTTCATGTTATCGATTATATAAGAAAAATTACCTGTCATTTGCAAAGAATGTTATCGATATGTATGGCTTATCGATTAGCCTAAAACATTTGTTATCGATTTTTAAGCGACGATTATCAGTATTTATTAGCCTAATCGCCCAATTCAATCTGTTGATCAGCAGGCAACTCTTCAGTGTTCGCCACGCAGACACCATAGCTGGGATTCTCGATCAGATGCACGCGCTGTTTATCCTTCCTCGACTGACGTCGCTGCAGATACTCACGCGTCAGTATCACGGGCAGCATAACGAGCAGCACACAGAGCAGTGCAGTTAGGCCCAGCTTGCTCCACTTGGAGAAGCCACCAGTTCCATCTGAGCTCAGAGCACGATATGTCAGCCGCTTGCAGGTTTCTGGTGCCGCGCAATAGCTTCCCTTTTCACAGGGTTCACTGCAGTCGGGGCTGCATTCGCTGCTGCTGATGGATATAAAACTATAGCCGGGCATGCAAACACATTCATTTGGACGCAGACATTCGGCATTGATGCAGCGCTCTTGGCATGCCGCGTGACACAGATGCAATGCACTCGTATTGTAGAGCATGTAGCCCTCGTTGCATACGCAACGACCTGGCGCCTTGCAACGTCCGTTTTGACAGCTCGGCCGGCAGACGGGTGTGCACTCGTAGAACAGCTTGGTATCCTCGTAGCCGGGCCAGCACTTGCAGCTGTTGGGCTCGACGCATTCGCCGTTTATGCAGCTGGGCGAGCAGACGGGATCGCATATGGAAGTAGAGCCGTCGCGCAGACGATAGCCCTCATAGCAGCGGCAACGTCCGCCGTCACAGCGACTATTGATGCACTTCTGGGTGCAATGCGGTTCACATGAGCCGCTGGGCCAACGCTTCGCATAGCCCGGCTCACATTCGCATATCTCCGGAGCAATGCAACGGCCATGGTTACACGGCTCACTGCAGATGGGCTCACAGACGTAGGGATCGTGAGCGCGGGGCCGGTAGCCATTGAAGCAGCGGCACACATTTGGCGCTGCACAGGTGCCGAACACACAGGAGTGGCTGCATTTGGCTACGCAATAGTAGGGCGAGATCGCTTCGTAGCCACTCAAACAGCTGCACACCTCGGGATTGCTACAGATGCCGTTGTAACACTGCTTGCTGCAATGTGGTTCGCAATGAATGCTGCTGCCATTTGCCATTACGAAGCCCTCATGACAGCTGCAGATGTTGGGCGCCGTACAACGTGCATTGACGCCACATTGCGGCTCACAGCTGGGCGTACAGCGATGAGGCGTTAGCTTCTTATAGCCCTCGTTGCACGCACATTCGCCGGGTGCACTGCAGACGCCATTCTCACAGCCCTGGCGACAGCTGGGCGTGCAAATGTGTTGGCTGCCATTCGTGGGCACATGTCCTGGCTGGCACAGGCAGTGGTTCGGTGCTGCACAGGTGCCATTGATGCAGGCCGGCTGGCAAATCGGCTCACAGCCCGCCTCAATATGATTGCCGACATGGCCAAAGCCCACGTTGCAGGCGCAGTGCTCGGGCTCCAAGCACCTGCCATTGGGACAGCCGCTGCTGCAGATTGGCTCGCAGCGATAGTTCTGCTCCTGGTCCCAGTGGCCCTCGTAGCCGTCATGACAGCGCTGCTCATTCGGCGCTATGCAATCGCTGTGCTCCGACAGATTCGGGCAGTTGGGCACGCACTTGTCCAGCGTCTCATTGCGGCGATAGCCACGCCGACAGAGGCAGGATCCATCCTCTTGACAAATGCCATTCGTACAGTCGCTAGATTTGCAAATAGGTAGGCAAACCGACAGACTATTGTTAAGAAAACGATAGTTATTTGCGCACTGGCAAACATCCGGAGCAATGCAATTGCCATTGACGCAGGGCTCGCTGCAAACAGGCGCGCAAACGCTGCGATTATCCCGATTGCTATAGCCAGCATCACAGAGGCACACCTCGGGCGAGAGGCATTTGCCGCCGACGCCACAATCATGGCACTTCGGCAAGCACACGCCGCTAAGGCAGGCAGACAAGGTGAGGGAGAGAGAGAGAGAGAGAGAGAGCGAGAGAGAGAGAGAGAGAGAGAGAGATGATTGAGATATTTACTAAAGGTAAGTTTTAAGTTAAGGCTGAGGGCTTACTTACTTTTCCTCCTTGCGTTCGTAGCCTTCGCAGCAAACATCTTCTATTGACATATAAGTCTGATTATACAATAAATATATATATATATATATATATATATATAAATAAATAAATTCGATCAAAATCAGGTCATTATAAAATTAAAAATTAAACTATGGAATGTGAGGAATAAACAATTTTTAAATTTTATTTTGAAGAAGCAGACAGAGAGAGAGAGACAGAAAGAAAAATAGACTTAGAGAGAGATAGAGAGAGAGATATAGAGGACAGAGAGACAGAAAGAGAAATAGATATATTAATAGATATAGAGAGAGAAAGAGAGAGCGAGATAGGGAGAGGAGAGAGATAGAGAGAGAGCACAGCAGATATCATATCAACTTGATATAAAATAAAAGTTGTGAACTCTATATCCGCTTTACTCTATATCTTATTTCCTTGATAAACTCAATTGTTAATTATGAAGTCTTGTAGTTGAATTACTTTCACGATATACAATATTTAGATAATGATCAGTTCAGTTGTCATGACTAAGAACTCAAAAGAACTGATCATTTGTGAACAGCTGATCAATTCTATAGAATGTAAAGTTCATAGCTGATTAAGTAATATATATATTTAAAAACCAATTGAATAAGAGATAAGCAGTTCGCTGATCACTGACCAAGTACAAGAGTTCATATTAAAGAGTCGATTAATTAAATTAATTATGAATGTAAGTGATTCTTTGCTTGAACAGAGTTAGCCTTTTCTTAAAATATTTTAATTTCAAAAGGAATATATAAAATGTCAAAAAAAGTGCTTGAATTTATATATTTTAATATATGTCTATATTCTCCTTTTTCCATATTAGAATAGCTTAATTTGTCGCTAGTGCACTTTATACACACCTCTTTAATAGGTCGCACAACCAGCTGTCCACAGTCGGTGGTACAGTTGCTTGATGAATTATGTTTGCGCATCGTAATGAGGCTCACTTTCATTTTCATTGTTCTACACAAAAATTTGTTGTCAATTAGATATAAAATCTTTATGAAGTTCGATTAGGCAGCAGCTTACGGTATACGTTCCGTGCAGGCATCGATTTGTAGGCAAATCAGCAGCGAGCTGATCAGACCTATTATTAGTAGGCGCAACATATTTCTTTCGTATTCTCTATAGTCTGGGATAACTCAACACCATTCGCTTTAGTGCACAATTAACAAATGAACTGACAAATGAGATTCGAATTACAGACAATTCAGATCTGACTTGTGTTTGTGCTACTGCTTATCAGAGTTCTCTTTCTATATATATATATACATATATAAGCATGTGTGTATATAAACGTTTGTTGAACCCTCGGTGGCCAAAACAACGACCTCATCCTACTCTCAATTATTTTGCTTCTGATATGGCCATATGAAGTCAAGCCGAGGTCCTTAGCATTGAATATGACAAATGCATTTCAAGATTTCGCTTATCGGAGCAAGCACAGAGCATTCACTATGTATGACATCAAGTTAAAATTGCAGCCTATTTATAAAACAAGCAAATACATTGTAAATGATAACTCACAGTAAATTCAATTATAAAACGTAGAGCTAGGCCTTAGCGAACTAAAGCTGAAAGCTAGGCAGTCTGCGAGATCATGTAAGCAAGGGCAAAACTTTGATTTATGATTTTTTAATTACATTTAAGTTTTAGGATTAGTCTTTAAAATATGTTTGACTTCATGTTTAATGTTGAATATAAAGTATTCTTTGATATTAATTGTAAAAATATATAAATAAATGCATAAAAAGATTTAAATAGACATAAAGGGACTGACTATAATTTATTTATGTATTAAAAAAATTTATAGAATTTAATATTTTTTTAATTCGACTAAACACTTTTTCATATGAAATTCAAAAGCTCTGAATATTCAGGAATATCCAAACTTATATAAATTTTTAAATTACATTCGCTAAGATCTCAGAAGAGCAGTGTGACCAAAGTGTACAAAGTGAGTAAATGCCATAGAGCCTTTTATAGGCTTTGCAGCGATTGGCACAGCTGGTCAGCGCTTAATTTTTGCAGATGGCAGTACTTTTCCTTAAGGGCAGTGTGACCAGAACCGAATAGTCATTAAATGCCAAATGCAATTATTAGACTTTGCGACGATTGGCAAAATTGACCAGGCTAAATTTTTTAAGATGGGCAGCACTTTTCCTTAACAGCTTTTTTTGTTATAATTAAATTTAAAACGCAGCCTTTAAAAAAAAAGCTAATTCGAGAAAAGTTTATATTTAGTTCAATAAAGAACTTCAAAGATATTTTATATACGCTGAACTGATATATGGGAATTATTAGTATAATATTTAAGATTTAGGTTAATTTAAAAAATGTTAATTTATTTAATTAACTACTATTTCTTCACTTGATTGAAATTTATATTAGCAATAAGGCAAAAGTTTCCCACATATATAAAACAACTTTTTAGAATTAATTATAATTAAATTTAAATTAGATGACACAATTTTTGATAACAATTCAATGATTTTATAGGAATTTAATTAACTGAAATTATTTAACTTTGTAACTTTGTTGAAGATTTAAATTTATGCTGGTTCCTTTGCTCATTCAAGAGTCAATTCGCTTATCTTTGCCAATATTTGCAACTATATATAGTATTTATAAAGTGTGGAATCGTTAAGGTTTTTGCGGTTTAATAAACTAAAAGTAAAGCTATATAAGTTATGAAATCAGAGTTTGTAAATCAGTTACTTATTAAACTTCAACCGAATCGAAAAGTTGACTTTAAATTGCTAAACATGTCTGGAGCTGGAGTTGGATTTGGGCGTGTGCTCGTGCCAATATGCCTGCTCCTGGTCCAGTTGGATTATACCTTAGGCTATAATACGACAAGTGCGCACTGTTTGCCCGTGCTGGTGGCCACGAATAAGATGGTGAAGAAGCTAGTGACTCACACTCTGTTGGATACAACTGGATCGATGCGTTACCGAGAGCCGCAGGAAGATTTCTATGTTACAGTGGTATGAGTTGGGCAAACTGTTGTTAACAACTAATGAACTATCTACAGCAACTACGTGTCAACAGATTGAAACTTCAAACAAGTGCAAGCCCACTTGTGAGCCCAAATGCGGTCTTTATGCGGATTGTGTGGGCGATGAGAAACCCGAATGCGTTTGCCGCGCCGGTTTCCAAATTGAGCCAAATAATAACGAAACGCTTTGCAGGCCACAGTGCGAAAGGAATTGTGGCAGCCACACCATTTGCCACAAGCCAGGTGAATGCACGTGCTTGAATGGCTATCAGAGATCCAAGCTGAATGCCACCAACTGTGAGCCCGTTTGTCATGCGGAGTGTGGACGATTCCAATACTGTGCTCGACCGGATCAGTGTGAATGCGTTGTGGGCTATACCAGGGATGCATTGGGTCTGTGCAGTCCCCGCTGTGCATCATGTAATGCCAACGAGCACTGCACGAAGCCAGAACAATGCGATTGCAAGCCAGGCTACGAGCGCGTTGAGGACATATGCCAGCCACATTGCTCGATGCCTTGTCGACTCAACAGGTACTGTGCCCAGCCGGATATGTGTTTGTGCAAGGAGGGCTACGTGGAGAATGAGCTGGGCGTTTGTCAGCCACAATGTCAGACGGAGTGCGGCGCGCATGAGCATTGTATTCTGCCAGGTCAGTGCGAATGCAAGCCTGGTTATCAGCGAACTGAAACAGGCATCTGTGAGCCGCAATGCTCCATGCCTTGTCGGCTCAACAGGTATTGTGCTCTGCCCGACATGTGTCTATGCAAGGAGGGCTACGTGGAGAATGAGCTCGGCGTTTGCCAGCCACAATGTCAGACGGAGTGCGGCGCGCACGAGCATTGCATTCAACCAGACCGTTGTGAATGCCAGCCAGGCTATCAGCGAACTGAAACGGGCATCTGTGAGCCGCATTGCTCGAAGCCTTGTCGCCTCAACATGCACTGTGCCCAGCCGGATATGTGTTTGTGCAAGGAGGGCTACGTGGAGAATGAGCTTGGCGTTTGCCAGCCACAATGTCAGACGGAGTGCGGCGCGCATGAGCATTGCATTCAACCAGACCGTTGTGAATGCCAGCCAGGCTATCAGCGAACTGAAACGGGCATCTGTGAGCCGCATTGCTCGAAGCCTTGTCGCCTCAACATGCACTGTGCCCAGCCGAACGTGTGTTTGTGCAAGGAGGGCTACGTGGAGAATGAGCTGGGCGTTTGCCAGCCACAATGTCAGACGGAGTGCGGCGCGCACGAGCATTGCATTCAACCAGAACGTTGTGAATGCATTGAGAGTTATCGTAGAGATGAGCAAGGCGTCTGTCAGCCCATCTGCAAGGCAGATTGTGGAGAACATGGCTATTGCAGCGAGCCAGACAAATGCGGCTGCCAGACAGGCTATCAGCTGTCCGAGCTGCAGGCCAAGTGCCTGCCCATCTGTGTGGCTTGTGGCAATAACACGCAGTGCTCTAGTCCAGGCAAATGTACCTGTCAGACGGGCTTTCAGCGCAAGAGTGCAGAAAGTGTAGATTGTGAGCCACACTGTTCAACAGGCTGCTTGGCCAACAGCTACTGCAGCAAGCCCGAAAAGTGTGAATGCCTGAATGGCTATGCAGAGGATGCGATGGGCAAATGCTCGCCCGTCTGTGCGCCGGAGTGTGAAGCGCACAGCATTTGCATAGGTCCCGGCAAGTGTGCTTGCCGGCCTGGCTATACGGGCGTGGGCAACCGCTGCATGCCCCTTTGCAGCAGCCAATGTGGCGACAACAGCTACTGTGCCCAGCCCGAGCAATGCGCATGCATTGCCGGCTACAAGCCAAGCGATGAGCTCAATCGCAACTGCTCACATACGAAGGCCACAATTACCATCATCATGTTATCAGTTGCAGTTGCTTTAGCGATCATCAGCTTGGTCTCATGCATTGTCTTGGCCTGCAAAAGGCGCAACAAGGAGCCCGTTTTTGAAATGCAATCAGACAATAATGTTCTGCCCATGCAGTGTCTGGATCTAGATAAATACGATACGAGCTTGGAAGGCATCACCAACGCATCCTATGCGCAATAAGCCAATTCAAATCAAAATCATAAAAAGAGCAAAAATAAACTAATATATGTAATTTAATTCATTTTTAATCAGCTTGCAGTAAAAATGTGCTTAGCAACTCTTTGTGACGCATCGAAAAAAAAACCTCAAAAACAAAAATAATTTATGAGGCTTACAGTGTTAAATACGTGACAAATTCAATTAAAATATTTCATTTATTTTCAATAATAATTTTTAACATTTTCATTTTTAAGTTATAAACAATTTTGTTGTTGTCTAGTATTAGTCGATAATACATTAAATAATTATATATTAAAATTGAAATTTTGAATCTGATTGACTCAAGTTTATGAGCTCAAATAATTAATTGACTTAAATATATTTATATTACATATTGATGATAAGTTATATATTTAAGTGATTGATTGATAGCCTGATTGTTTGAATGACTGAATTGTGGAACAGTCGTTCTATTGACTGATTGACTGATTGACTTTCTTTGACTGGTTGATGGGGTGACAACCTAACTCCTTGACTGATTCATTGACTAACTGAACTTTGATTGAATTGAATTGACTGATTGTCACACTGACTAAATGAGTCAATTTCTGGCTGGATTTCAGACTTTTTAACTAGTGCCAAAATGTTTGATTGATTGAGTGATTAAACAACGGACTGACTGCTTGAGTGATTGACTGTCTGATTGACTCATATCAATACTGACTGACTAATTATTGTTACGGACTGGCATATTCTTATCCAATTGACAGATTAATTGAACTACTGTCAAACTGTTTGATTGATTGAATTAGCTGACTGAGACTATTAGATTAACTCTTATATATATTAATGCAGTCATTGGCTCAATTAACATAAGATTCACGAACTGCCTAGACTGATGACTGTCTCGCTGCCTGTTGGGTGTGTTGCTGACTGATTGATTAACTAAATGATTGACTGAGTGCTAAATTGATTAAGCAAGTAAAAAATAAATGACCTGATTCTAATGCAAACTAGATACATCTACAACCCACATCATACATATGCTGATTACATCCAAGATGTGGTCCAAGGTTGAGCGCTTTACATGAGCAAAGGCTAAGTTGTATTATCATCTTTATCAGTTTCTGTTACTCAGTCTGTCTCCCTCTATCTCTCAACGTTAGTTATTATTAACATAGCTCTTTTATCTTGTAAAATGCCGGATGTTATGAACAAAGTACATGCGAAATTGACTAACTAATCTGCGCTCACAGTTGAGTTTGAAACGCGTTGCCGACTCGCACAGAAAGTTGCACTCAAATCGACAATTTTCTTCAAAAATGCAAAGTTCTTATCACTTTTGGTTGTGTTTGCTATTCACACTTTATTTTGTGGCAATTGGCAGTGGACTTAGAATTCCTCGATTTGTGTGTTCCAGAAGAAAACAAATTTCGTATACTAAACAAACACTTAGACTTATAAAGCTGCCGGAGCATTCATCGACCAGAATCATTTTTTGGGCTAACCGCGCTAATTCTCGATATGAATTCCGAACGGTTCCTGAGGTAATTATGAAATAATATAAATAAAAAACCTTTTTTGTTGCGAGCTTTAGATATATTTAATAATTTTCATTTTTTTAATTGATATAAATATAATAAAAAAAAATATGAATAAAACAAAAACAATTGAATGATTTTTTTTTTAAATTATAAAAAATTATAATGACGACGAAGAATTATTCTAAAAATCAAATAAAATAATATGAATTACAACAACAGCAAAATACAAAAGAAAACCTTTTTTATATATATAAGATTTTATTATATTATATTATATATTTTTTGATAGCAAAATTTGTTATTTCGCTTCACTTTTTGTTTATATCTTAACTCATACATACATATTGCATGAATGTAACTAATATATATACTTTCCGGATGTATTTTAATAACTGAAACATTTGTCCGAGTGCGAGTTCGCTTCAACGTCTCAGTCACTGCTCAGTTGCATTTGGTTTGAGCTAGCGAAAGGTTCGTTGAGAAGAGCTTAAGAATGCAGGGTCTATACTTAATGATATATCTGCTGATGAGCCTTTGTGGCTGTTGTCTAACAATGATGTATGATACTAAAGTGTGCAGTCGCTTGAAGAGAGTTTCGTACACTCAGATGGTACAAAGGCTGAGGACCATAACGTATAGAAAGCGAGTATTCTTCATCTGGAAAACCAAATCACGACTTGAAACGCAATACGTGCCGGAGGTGAGATTAGAAAACCATGTCAAAATTCAAATAGCGCAAGGCAATATTTCTCAAGTATTTCCGCCTTAATTTCACAAAAAGTGATAAGCGAATTCATGAAGGAGAAATCCAGACTTCGCGCGATCAAAGTACAAATTCATTTCTTAAGTCTGGATACTATTCTTGGCAATATCATCAGTATTATTATTAGCAACAGCCTCGCCTCCATCATCATCATCATCATCATCCCATTCAGTATGAATGACAATTGACTTATCTATAATACTATTATACTTACGTCACAGACCGCCTACAAATTTGAAACGGATTACTATTGCTGTGAAGGCTATCAAGGATCGATATACGATTGCCAGCCCGTCTGCACTGCAGGTTGCGGCGATAATAGACACTGCAGCGCGCCTGATCAATGCAGCTGCAATAACGGTTATATAGGAAATGATTGCACTCCACTTTGCATTGGCTGCGGCATACATAGCCACTGCCAGTCGCCGGGAGAATGCGCCTGCGACACGGGCTACAGCAACAACGGAGGCTCAGGCGGATGTCTGCCAGTCTGCAATGCGGGCTGCCCGGAGCACAGCAACTGTGAGGAGCCCGACAAATGTGTGTGCATCGAGGGCTACGCCAGCTCCGATGATGGAAGCTGTCAACCTGTCTGTAGTCAGGGTTGCCCAGAGCATAGCAGTTGCAGCAAGCCAGGAGAATGTGTGTGCGAAGAGGGCTACAAGCGCATCGAAGACGGCAGCTGCCAGCCGATCTGTAGTCAAGGATGTGCACCAAACAGCAGCTGTAAGAAGCCAGAAGAATGTGTGTGCGACGAGGGCTACATGAGCTCCGAAGATGGAAGCTGTCAACCGGTTTGCCAACAAGCATGTCCAGCGCATAGCAATTGCAGCAAGCCAGGAGAATGTGTGTGCGACGAGGGCTACAAGATCGCCGTAGATGGCAGCTGCCAGCCGATCTGTAGCCCAGCATGTCCGGATAATGGCAGTTGCCTGTCGCCAAACGTCTGCATCTGTAAGCCAGGCTATGTCCTAAGCCAAAATCATAGTCTGTGTGAAGCCCACTGTCCAGAGAGCTGTGCGGACTATGCCCGATGCGTGGCACCCAATCAGTGCGAATGTTATCCTGGCTTCGAGATGTCGCAGGTCGAGCAGGTGTGTCAGCCGAAGTGCAGCCAGGACTGCTCGAATGGTTTTTGCTTTGCGCCTGACAAGTGCGCCTGCAACTCCGGCTACTTGATGGGTCCCAATCAGACCTGCGAGCCGCAATGCAGCTCCAACTGCATTCATGGCAAGTGCATCGCACCCAACAGCTGCGAGTGCGAGCCTGGCTATCGCTTTGCAACAGACTCAAAAGATGTCTGCGAACCCGTTTGTGAGCCAGCCTGCGAGCTGGGCACTTGCATGGCACCGCAGCTCTGCATCTGCCAGTTGGGCTACGAGCCGACCTCGAAGGAGCTGCCACATCTGTGCCGTCCCAGCTGCACGATGAGCTGTGTGAACGGCAGCTGCGTGGCGCCCGAGAAGTGCGCCTGCAATGCAGGCTACGTGCCGGCAGATGGACTCAATGCCACCAGCTGCAGGCCCAGCTGCAGTGGCGACTGTTCGAATGGCGATTGTGTGGCACCCGAGCAGTGTCTGTGTCACTCTGGCTACGAGCGCACTGCGGCTGGCTGTCAGCTGCGGCTGGAAGTGACAACTTCAACGGAACGGCAATTGGATGAGCTGCAGCAAAAGGAGCCAGGCACAAATTGTAGCAGCATCAGCTGCAGCTGTTGGCGCGCATGGACTGAAATTGAGGAAGCTGCCATCAAGTGCGTCAACATTTGCCAGGATGCTTTCGACAAGCCCTGCGTGGATCTCAAACTGTGCAGCTGCGACCAGGCAACAGGCCAACTATTATGCCCGGCTGAAGAGCACGAGCAGCGTCTGGTCTGCCAGGCGACCACAGCCATTCGCATCGATCAGCAAACAGAGCAGAATCTGGGCGAAGCGGCTCATAACTCGAGGCGGCCAGCAGTCGGCACATCCAAGTGGCCAGTGATTCTAGCCTGGTCCGCCGGCAGCTTCATCGTTTTGCTGCTCATTATTGTCGCCTCGCATCTCTACCTAAAGCACCGACGTCAAGAGGCCATTCAAGAGCAGGAGAACTACTGCTATGTGCTCTGTAACGATAAACTATAAAAATAATTCTTTACAAAAATTAGAGATTTATAATTTGAAATCCCAATAGCTGTTTTCCTGCCTCTGGTTGTTGAACGAGTATTTGTTGTATTTAAAAAGTATCATTTATTATTATTAATAAAGTGTTAAAAAAGTATTTATAACCAATTGCCTAGCTAGATTTTAGACGGGCACACACATCGTGGACTGTTCGTGATAGCTAAAGCCGGGATCGCAGATGCAACGATTGCGACTCACGCATACGCCATTGTAGCATTTTCTGTGGAAAGAAAAACCGATATCATTTTAATCTGTATATCTATAACTAAATACTTAGACACACATGTATAATATGTTTTATGTAAATATATAGTTCATTCAGTTTGCAATTGCTTATATTATTATGCTTATATTATTATTATTATTATTATATTATCTTAAAAGAAAGTCATCAAACACTGACTTCACTGTCAAATTGCAGAGCTCAAACTGCAAGGCTTTGGTAGATTTTCCATCGCTTTTCCGATTAGCCACACGCAACTTATTAAAAAGTGTCTGCTCTACATTTCAAGCCTGCTGACAGACGGGCATTGCACACAACTAATATACTCT